AAACTCACGGGACTCACTCCTCAGTTCATACTGTGTTTTGTTTCAATGAATGCATCATTTAGTTACAAATATGTGATATATCTGAACAACAAAGTGGTCAAAAATCATTTTATTCATTTATTGGAAACATTTTCATGATCGCTTTTTTCGTTTTACAATTTCATTTATTGTCATTTCCATTCAGTCAGTCATTAAGTGCTATTTAACATGTTAATGTGCTACATATCCACACAAACAAACTAAGTGTGCAATCCAATGAATGTTAATCTAACTGGGTTTTGATAGATAACATATCTCTTTTTCTTCTCTGAATTATTTTATTTCTATTGTGCACTCTAATCAATATTAATCTAACTATTGTTCGTTTATACATTTTAAGAATGGCGTTTATCTTTTTTGAGAATGAGTTCTTATTTGATTTGATTTATTTGGGTCTACAACAGATGATACAAATGTTTGTGTCAGTAAGTAGGCTTGTTTGAGACGAGCTGCGGCTCGCCTCGAAAGTAGACGAGAATAGCCGATCGCAGCCGGGGGAGGTCTCAAAAAGCTCGCCTGAAGTCGGACAGCTCGGAGTCGGCTTCTTCTTCTTCTTCTTCTTCTTCTTCTTCTTCTTCTTCTTCTTCTTCTCTCGGTTTTTTGGCGGATTTCAAACAACTTTAAGGTGCATACTGCCACCTCCGGAGTCGGCTTGACTCGGTTTGCATTTATAAATGCACACGGCATCTATTGCACGTCTGTCCGTCCTGGGAGAGGGATCCCTCCTCTGTTGCTCTCCCTGAGGTTTCTCCCATGTTCCTTTAAACTGTGGGTTTTTCTCTGGAAGATTTTCCTTGTATGATGTGAAACGTAAGGACAGAGGGTGTCGTATTGTCATACTGATATTCTGTACAAACTGTGAAGTCCACTGAGACAAATGTAACATTTGTGATATTGGGCTATATAAATAAACATTGATTGATTGATTGATAAAGAATGGACAAATGTGTTTAATCGTTAATGTCAGATATGTACTAAGTAAATACATTTGTTCCTGCTCAAGATTAGATTCAACTTTATTGTTATTGCACAGATTACAGGTACTGAGACAACGAAATGCAGTTTAGCTTCTAACCAGGAGTGCATAAAGCAGTAAAGTGAAAAGTAATGTACACAATCTACAGAATAAAATATAGAATGAATTGAATGATGAATAAACAGTGAGGGGTATGAATACACTATATATACAGTAGCCTAGCCTAGTATGAACAGTGTGTTGTATGAATATGCTAAGATATATAAAGTATGACAACGGTAAGCAGTGCAAGTATAGTATACAAATATATAGATATTAATTTAATGATGATAAACATTGTGGAACAATGATGAAAAATGTGAATGGAAGTGGCGACGTAAAACTGACACAAAACAACAACACACTTTTGCCGAGCCAATGGAGAGTTTCATCTCCAGCACGGGGCAAAACCCACCAATGAGCGCTCAGCTCGAGATACCAGCGAGTCGTTTCCATGGATGTATAATAAGAACTGGATACAGCGTGGGAGGCGGGGCCTCATTCATTCCTATGAGAGTTGCTCATTCGCGCATGATGATAAAATGGCCCAACTTTTGAGAGAGCGAAACGTCACAGATTACCCGGCATGCCTGAGAAGTACCCGTATGTGCGCTCATAGCGCATGCGCAACTTTAACCATGCCCCCCAAAATGCTCGTTCACATCAAGCACGTCAATTTGCGTACACGTAACAGCACCGCACGTTCATGACAGCATGGTAATGTTTGTTATGATAGATTTGATATTAACGAGGCGGCAGTTAGCAGCTAGCGGTTAGCTAGTAATTATGCTAATTTACACATCAATCGTTATGTACTTTTATATTACGCTGTAACAGGATCTAGTGATATCCAAGCAACAGAGCTTCATTTAGCATGAAAGAATTATTGCACTGTATATATATATATATATATATATATATATACACACAGTGCAATAAGCTTCTTAGTGCAATAAGAAGCTACAGGGACGTTAATCTACGTCGGTAATATTAACTTTATTTAATACAACATTTACGGTACAAGATTTAATCATACAGCCCATGTAGTATAATATTTTACAAATGATGAAATACAGCAAACATGTGCAATATATCCATTATTACAGCTCCGTGGGCTGGCAGTAAGGCGATATGGGTCCGTTCTTATTGTACATCCATGGGTAAAGATAAACGCATGTACTAGTGCTGAACACGTAACATGAACGTGCCGGGCGGCGCGGTCCCGTGGGTTAGATGCGCGTTCATAATGCAGAGGGAAATAACTCTCAGAATAACGTTATTAGCACATTTTACAACTTGAGGAACGAATGTTTTTAATAAGGGCTATACAAGTGTTCATACTGGGTAGTTTATTTAGTTTAAAAAAAATTATCCAACGATTTACAGACCACTCTTTCCCCATGTAAGTCAATGGGAAAAAGTGTTTCCGGGCCTGGCAACCAAAAGGAAGTGTAGTACCGCCGTTTGGCCAGCACGAATATTTTCATCAGAGTCCGGCGCACTTCCTGGGGGCTTGGTCGTTTCCCATCAAGCATTTCGCTTCCGCAGCCCGGGGAGAGAAACTGCGCCGCCTCGCCGCGCCTCGCTCTCAAGTCTGCGGGCGTCTTTGTCCCGCGAGATTTCAACGTCTCATGTAGGCGAGCCTCCTGAGCAAGTCGGACAAAATGACTAACCATCATGCAACGCACGAGCAAGACGTTGATCGCAATTGCGCAGGTCTGCGCAGGTCTCGCTTGTCTCAAACAAGCCTATAGTCTCTCCCCTCCTCCCTCTCTGCATCAGGTGCTTTCCCCTCTTCTATCTTTGAGAGAGAAGGAGGTCACACAGGTTCAACTCTTACTTAATGAATCAATTACAAATGTAAAGTTAAAATGTAAACAAATGAAGACTTATAGTCAGTGGCGGCGCCAGGGTATGGCTGGTGTAGGCTACAGCCATACCAAGAAATGGCTTAGCCCCACCTTAGCCCCACCATGAAAAGTGATGCAAATTCAATTAAATAATAAGCGAAATGCTAAATGTTGAGAACACGGATTGCGAAAATATACGGGTCGTGTCCACAGCACACAAACTGATCCTGCTGTAACAACAAGTGCACGTTACTGATGCAATATGGTTGAGACCATTCGGGCTTATGCTATAAGAGGGGTGCAAGGAATAGTCTAAGTAGTGGGGGAGTTTTATACACTAAAGGTGTGGAAATTCTCAGCGCGGCCGCGGTCAGATCAAAATGCCTCCGAATGCAATTTGAATAGACCTACAGCCAATCAGAGCAACGAAACGTTGGATCTGCGTCATGCCTTATTGATTGAGATCAATCGAAACCGCCATTCAGTATCCCCATTGGATCTTCAACGTGTACTATCATACGTCACGTTCACAGTGATCCCTTTTTATTTACTACAAGACAAATGTGCCGTTTTATTGCATACAGTTCCATTTTGATTGAGACAGGGAAATAATCTAAACCTCCCGCGTGGCGTTTCACTGTCAAGGGGGCGATATAGCGTGTATGTAATTATATTGCAAATACTGACTTGAGCACCACCACTGTATGGGTTAGCCCTACCATAGATTACCCAACAAAAATGCTCTGGCGCCGCCACTGCTTATAGTAATGATATGCAATTTTAACAAAAGGGAATATGAACATTTTTATGAAAGCAAAACATGTTTAGAATTGAGTTTTTCTTTTAACTTCAAAATGTAACAAATATGCAAACTTTATACTTTAATTTATGAACAGAAACAAACTTAACACAACTGTCTCTATTGTCTCTAAGATGTGTTGCTCCTGGATGTTGGACCTAAAACCATCAAGTCTGTACACAGTTCACTCTCATCCTGTGTGCATTGTTGTCCTCAATCGTTGTAACCGTTGTCAAGGTGTCAAGGTGTCAAGGTGTCAAGGTGTCAAGGTGTCAAAAACCACAACGCCTTCCTACAATTGTGATTGGAACTTTTATGCTTTGCTTGCACCTTCTAGAATGCATTATGTGCATAGGTCAAGAGTTCAGGATGTTCTGATAAGACATTATTGAGACATACATCCTTTCCATCAAACCAATTTACAGTCAATTTAGCATTTTGTATCAATGGTAAGCTTAATAGAGGGAGGTGAGGTAAAAGTGAGGTCTGTCACGGCCACTTAAACAGCAGATCTGTCAACAGTAGAATATTGTTCTAAAGTCCAAGATGAATCTTGATTGGGCCAAATTGGACCCCGAGTCACCCACAACAATTCTGCTGGGTCTCCCCAGACCCCAACACCAAATTATACACTTTTATAACTAAATGACTAAAATGGTCAAAATCAGTTTTGTAGCTGTTGTGGAGGATATCATGAAGCCTCGTTCTGATAAAAAAACAAGAGCGTAGTTATTATATAATTTTAACTTGAAACGCGTCACGGGAGACCCGAACACAAAATAAGGGTTAAGATAGACCCTAAAAATATATTTGTGATCCTTTATTAAACAACAGAAGCACATTACACACTCAATGTGAACTCAACAGTCTTTTATTTGTATTGATCACTAGATGTTTGTCTTTACACATTCATTTCTGTTCCAACCTTTTCATATTGAATTACACAATTCATTGCATACTGTACATACATTTTAACCTTTCATTTAACAAAAGCCAACATTGACATTACGCCTTCAGTTATTGCGGAAAGAAAAAGCTAAAAAGCCAAAGAAAAAGCATCCGTATAACATTTTAAAAGCATTAATTCATGATATAGAATCAAAGAACAAATGAGTTTACATTACATTAATATAGTTTAGAATGTTAACATCTTGCTTCTTGACGATCTGTCCCCCTGATAATATTTAATTAACTCACCACTGAAATATCTGATATTACTATAAATCACATCAAACAACAAAATCTAAAAGGGGACTTTGATGATCAACAAGGAGGTATTCCAGAGGGTCAGGCTGTATCATGGAGGAACAGAAAAGAAAGATCTAAACTTTTCTCTCATTCTCCTCCTCTCCTCCTCCTTTTCTCTTTTGCTAGCTTCTCTCAGCCTTTCCTCCTCTTCTCTCATTCTCCTCCTCTCCTCCTTTTCTCTTTTGCTAGCTTCTCTCAGCCTTTCCTCCTCTTCTCTCCTTCTCCTCCTCTCCTCCATTTCTCTTCTCTGAGCTTTTCTCAGCCTTTCCTCATCTTCTCTCATTCTCCTCCTCTCCTCCTCCATTTCTCTTTTGCTAGCTTCTCTCAGCCTTTCCTCATCTTCTCTCATTCTCCTCCTCTCCTCCTCCATTTCTCTTTTGCTAGCTTTTAAATGCCTTTCTAACCTCTCACCTTCCTCTTTGACTTTTTTAAATGGTTCCTCATACTTTTTCTCTAATCTCTTTTCCATTTCCTCTTCTAGCTCCCTCTCTGCCTCCTGGAACATTTCACTGGTGTAATGGCTTCCTCCGTTCTTCTTTGTTATCTTTCTGATCTTGTCGAGCAGCTCTCTGACCTGAGAACGATCCTTCTCCTTATTATTGAAGACGTGGTACTGGCCGTCACATCTGTTCACAAGTTCCATCAGATCTTTGCTTTCCATCAAGAACTCTTCGATAGGTTCGTCTTCGAGCTGATCACCGTGGGTAAAGAGGACCATGCTGTATCTGTCTGCATCTTCTCCAAAGATTTCCTGAATCTTCTGAACTGTCTGCTTTTCTTCATCTGTGAATCTGCCCAGTCTGATGACGACCAGGAAGACATGGGGTCCAGGAGAAGCAAATTTAATGCTCATGCCAACATCTTCTCTGGTCTTGTTTTCATCAATCCTGGTGTCAAACAGACAAGGAGTGTTAATAACCATAACTCTTTGTCCATCAACTTCACCAAAGGCATTAGAACAGTTTACAGTCATGGAGAACTTTGATTCAAAGGACTTTTTTCCCAGAATGGTGTTTCCTGTGGCGCTCTTCCCAGCTCCGGTCTTCCCCACCAACACAATCCGGAGTACCTCGTTATCGTACGTGTTTGATTCTGATCGGTGGGCTGAAAAAAATGAAGAAATATTTAGCAATCTCTGTATTTATAAAATGGTTCAACTACCACATGAACAATGTTGACAGTGAGGGGGGGTGGGCTCAAGATGGTTTCATAATCTAGAATATGTCTAGGAGCTAAAGGTAGTGAGTCTGTCAATGTCAAGTGATGCACTTTGAAGGGACTTTGTCTTTTTTTTTACCGGAGCAAGAGAGAGGCACCATGATGAACACAAATACTGGAAATTAAAATCACACTAAATGTACCTCTTAATTGCGTACAACCTGAACTGAAATGGTGCAGCAGTGGCCTCTAGCTGTATGTTTATTTGAATAAGATTTTTTTTTTACAACATGTTTAGTTTCTATCTTTCATATTTCTACAAATTACCCCATTTTGGGCCTAAACAATCTTTGAAGGGTATAAGTTGCCTTTAGTTATAATCAGGAGCCCAAAGAAACTTCTGGCTACCCCTAAATATTCTTATTGTTCTTAATATGTTTCATGTAGTCTTGTGAAGAATGTAATACAAGCAAGAAAAAGCAGTGTCGCATTCTCAAAATCACCCAGGCTCTTAAAATGCTTTGAATTTAAGAAATATTAATTTTGTATTACAGTAACTGTTTTGATCTGTTCATTATTAGGAAATAGATGTGTGATCATGGACGGTGCCTCATATTGCGGAGGGAGCCGCTGCGACACAGAGGGCCTCATCAGATAACTTTGCGTGGGACCACAAGTTGGCCAGGGGCGGCCCTGCACTATCATCTCTTGGAGGTGATCGATCTCCTCCTCTTGACTCTCAATAAACTCCTGAACAGTCATCTTTTCTTTTGCAGCTTTATTGTACTTGACTTTAAGCTCTTCCAGAGTCTGGCTCTCTTTGACTTGAGGAATTACAGAATTGATCCTCTTACCTTTACTTTTGAGGTCACGTTTAGTTGTGCGGACATTAACAGCGATGCTTTCTTTGCTTCTTCCAGCTGCACCACAATCACACCTGACCCTGACAGCGTATTCTGTCTCTGGCTGAAGTTCTGAAATGATCGCCCTCTCAGCTCCAGCCATCATTTGCTCCCAGTGGAGATCTTCCTCTTTCACCTGTTGGTCTTGTTCGGCGTACTCCACGATGTAGCTCAAAACGTGGACATCTTGTCCGAGCTCAGCAGGTTTCTCCCAGCTGACTGATATCTCACCTGAGGTAGATTCAACGTGGAGTTTTCCAGGAGGGCTGCAGGGTAAGGTTTTAAAGGATCCACTGAGTTCATTGGCTGGCCCGGCACCTACTGGTGTCTCTGCCCTGCATCTGAACATGTACTCTGTGTTAGGACTCAGGTCGCTCACTGTGACTTCTTCAGCTTTGGATGCTGTCTTTGGTTTCCAGCCGTCCTCTCCACTGACACAGTACTCAACAGAGTAGGAGGTGATGTCCTCTGCTCCAAATCTGGGTGGAGAAATGTTCAGCGTCACACTGTTGTGGTTTATATCACTTCCTGTTACTGTTACAGGCTTTGAAGGCGGCTCAAAGTCCTCATTGACAGACAAGTCTGTATAAAGGTAGATGCTGGCACCTCTCTGTGTCTCGTTTGTTAAACCCACCGTCAGGAATGTGATGTTCTTGTTCTCCTTGTTGGCCTCTGCAAAATCACTGAAGAGCTTTGCTTTGTTTCTCAATGTTTCTGCTACTTTGTTTGTGAGGTACCACTGTTCCTTTTCTAAATCTGGAGTGTGTGGATCTTGAGCGTCGTCTGGTTTGGGTGTTTGTTGAAGGTAGTTTGATAAAGTTGAGAGGTACGGTTCATCACTTCCCAGCGAGGTGAAGACAAAACACACTGCGTGCTCTGCTTTGAGAATTTCTTCATGAAGATCATTTTCACGTGGAACGATCTGGGTGTTTTTCATCCTGTTGGTGTACGACTTTAAAATTGATATTTCTCTCTCCTTGCAGTCCATCCACTCGTTCAGGTCCTTGCTGTTGAAAGGAGAAGAACATGTCTTCCTCAGTTCCTCTGCGAGCACAGCTTCTTCTTCTCCTCCTCCTCGGATTGATGGAAGTTTCTTTGCCAGGGTTTGTTGGAATTCCAGTTTGAACTGAGAGCACTTCTGTTTAAAGGTTTTTAGTTTTTTTCCAATCTGTGGGAACTGCTGTGCAGTTTGGGTTCTCAGTGCATCATTGCACCTCATTTCCAGGTCACTGAAGTCCTCCAGGACACTCTGACATTCTTCAACTAATCCTATACTTATCTGATGGACAAGTTTAGCGGCAGTAGAATCTAAAAATGTCAGAGGTAACAGCCAGACCTTCACTGGTACTGCGTTTTCCCCGTTGGCTCCCAGCAGCTTTGGCAGACTTTGGTACACCTCTATTGCATCCTGAAAGGATGTCGGAGGTTTCTGAATCAAAAAGTCTCCAAAGAATCTGCAGGACAGTTTCTCAACATTTGCTTTGTCCTTGTCTTCCATTTTCAGCGAGCCTTCGCCCTCTATTGAAAGGGAGGGAATGTTCTTGATGATCACCTTCAAGTTGCCCTGAATGTCTTGATGGTTCTCGTTGACAGACACTTCACGGTCAAAGACAAAGAAGGCTTGAGCCCCATAAAGGATACCTGTGACTACATGTGTTGCTATTCCTTTTTCAAACACATACGGATGCTTAACATTGCCTCTTCCAAGCTGATCCATGGACAGTTCATGGAACTTTGTGGTAGCTTGGTAATTCAGTGTTACACTAGCATGATTTTTGGAAGTCTTACTATCGTTCAGGTATTTGGCTGATCCACCAACCTTTACCAGTCCACCCAAGAAACTTGCCTTCAGTGATGCTTCAACATTTAGTGCTGAAGATTTGTCCTCAATTGATTCAGATGCAACTATATTACAATCATTATAGCGCTGTGGTCTTTCTCCAACATCATTTTTAAGGTCCTTACGGTCCCACAAAGTCATTCCTGAAAAAGAAGAAGCAAAAATCAAGCTCCCACAACCAGAAACTACAAACTGACCTTATAGTTTAGTTGTCAGCAGTTTTATGATAGACATGTATAGTAGGGTCTCCAGCACAAAGAAACGGCCAGATGCTAATTTACATATGTTGGGATATTTGTAAAATTTGCATAAATTGTGTCCTTTGAAATTAATTGGATTATAGTTTGTGCAGACATTTGTAAAAGAAAATGACTTGGCCGATTAGAACAATTTGGGCTTTGGGGGTTATTAAAGATGCTGAGTCAATTTCTTACATTTTCAGAAGAAAAAAACGACCACTATGGCTACTGGCCACGCCCCTTTGGAGCGCCCGCATGCAAGCAGTGAGCTCTGTGAAGAGAAGGCTGTCTACCAGCAGATACTCAGCTAAATGCTGCCGTGATTAAACTCCATATCATGTTCCAAACCACATCAAGGATTATTTCTGAAACAGTATGGAGCTCAAACTCTTTCTCTCTCTCAGGTTTACCACAAGGTGAGTTCCTTTTTATTTCCTGCTTCTTTACACATACTCTCTCCAGTACAGGTTAGCTCTGAGTGTTAGCATGCTACCATATTACTTCCAGAACACGTCTCATTGTTTCTGACAGCAACGTTTCTGATTTGCCCGTGGGTGTAAAGCCCGCCCACATTTTAGTAATGTGGTCATGACGCAGCAAATCTGGATCAGCTCCGTTGTTCCCCCGTTTTTAGAGATGTGGGTACGGAGGAAAAGAGAGAAGGTTTTATTTTCTGACACTTTGTGAGTCTCCTGACACACCGGGGACACACCGGGGACACATGTTGATGTAGAACACAACAGGTGACCTTTAACATAAGCTTGTGATTGTCCCTCACATACGTTAGCTAATGTTAGCTTAAGTACATCAACTGACAGTAACACGCTAATGTTAGCGTGTTACTGTCACTAGCTAACATTAGCTTTATAACATGTTGTTATATCTCTCACAGGCTCCGCCCTCTACTGGACTCTATGGGTACTACCTTATCCTGCGAGCATTCTCCCACTGAGACTTTAGACGTAGCCGGCCTTGGGGCGGGCCTACCTGAATGCGCGCGCATCTCACCGTATAAAAGGAGGCCTCGCCTCCTGACTATCATCCTTTTCTCTTCAGCAGCGGAAGTAAATCCACTGAGTTTTTGAGACGAGAGAAAAGAGAGTAAAATGGAGTCAATTCTCGACCACAGGAACTGCCCGAAATGCCCGAACCTGATCGCGGGGGCTGATCCGCACCCCTTCTGCTTCTCCTGCATGGGGCCCGACCACGCCGTGAGCGGTATGGGCCCGGCACCGGCCTGCTCGGCCTGCCAGATGATTCCGCGGCTCACGCGTCAGCATCGTGGGGAGCATTTCCTGAAGAGAGATGCCCTGCAGGAGGAGCCAGATCACCACTCAGGCAGACGCCCCCGCCCTCCCCAGGGATTTAAACTCATCAGGTATGAAAAAGGTGACAAGGATCCGAGCCCCCCGACCCCACGGAATATCGGCTTTAAAATGAGGAATAACAGGATGTTAGCAGTCAGAACAACAAAAGCAGCAGTGGTAATAATAACAGAAACGCCAAAGAGTCACATCTAATAGAAATATATAAAAGCATTTATTTTAATTGTGTAGCAGTCAGTTTATAATTTTGGCAGCACTGTTGAGCATTTTGAAAATGTATTTTCATGCCTCTGTGCAAGGCTTAGTCTCTCTATCTTTATAGCCAGTGGTGTAAAGTAACGAAGTTCATAAACTCAAGTACTATAATTGGGTACAATTTTGAGATACTTGTACTTTATTTAAGTATTTCCATGTTCTGCTACTGTGTACTTCTACTCCACTACAGTTCAGAGGTAGATGGTGTACTTTTCCTCCACTACATGTATTTAATACCTTTAGTTACTTCACAGATCTGGATGAATGATGTGAAATATAATCAAGTGTTAAATCAGACTTTAGTTCCACCTGGAGTAAATCCACAAGCTACCCTGCAGTATACAAAGTCATTCAAACTAGCTGCACCTTTACCAGCTTTGAGAACACTTTCATGATCAATCATTATAAAACATATCATATATATTATTCTGAAATGGACCAATCTGCACAATGACTACATTTACTGTCGCTACTTTAACTATATTTTAATGATAATACTTTTCTACTTTTACTTGAGGAACATTTTGAATGCAGGACTTTTACTGTAACAGAGTATTCCTACACTCTGGTACTTCTACTTTTACTCAAGTACAAGACCTGAGTACTTCTACTTTTACTCAAGTACAAGATCTGAGTACTTATATAGATATATACTTATACCACCTCTGTTTATAGCCTATGAAAAAAACTATTTGAAAACTAAGGCTAAAGCTAACGTTAGCAGATAGTGACATTGTATGCTAGCTCAACGATTCCTTAAATAATATTGCGACAGGAACACTTTTCAGTGCACATCACGCTCTGCCGCTCCGACAGGGAGCTCTGATCTGAACACCTGAACGGCCCGTTCTAACAGCTGTTCACCAGCGGTCCAGTCTGTGCCACAGTGACTCCGGACCGCACAGTTAATATTAACGAACGCACCCGTAGGTAATGTAGCTGCTGAAGCTAGACCCTCATCCCAGAGCAGCAGAGCCTTATTATACATCCATGAGCAGAGCCGACAGGCAGGAAGACTCGAGCACACAGAATAAAGAAAAAGTTGATCTGTATCCAAGTTTAAGTGTCCGTTGTTTCCACAATGCTACACTTACACATAATGATGACTGGACAGATTCCCCACTCACTGTTATGTGGAGCGCACGGCTGCCCTTAGTCCAGTGGTTCTCAAACCTTTTCTGTCATTCCCCACTTTGAACAGGTGGGCCTTTTCAAGCTCCACCTGTTCCTCATCGCTACAATAAAATGGTAGGCCAAGCCTAAAATGGTCAAATGTATCGTTCTATAACAGGGGTCTCCAACCTTTTTTAGGATGAGAGCTACTTTCAAAAAATAAAACAAGTCGTGAGCTACTTTTACTCCTCCTTTTTTAATGTTTTTTGCAGTGTAGCACATTTTAACATTATGATATGCTGACCTTTAACCTTTGTGTGCTGTTTACTAAAATAAAATGTATGCAATTTCATTATTTTAACCTGCTTTATTTGGGGGTGGACCTCACATCCTCCAGGGTGGATTTCTTTTATAATGTTGAAGTTCAATGCATACTTTTCAATAACATATGTCTGTAAATGATTTTGGTTTCAGTTGTGTGTGTGTGAGCAGGCTCGGATTGGCCATCGGGAGATTCAGGACTTTTCCCGGTGGGCCGCTGCCGTTGGTTGACTGCTGCCTTCGGTGGGCGGCTGGCTCTGGCATAGGTGGGCCGTGGACTTTCACAGCGCCGCTGCGCCGGTACCGCATCCGCAAACACCCGCCGTTGCGAGTCTCCGGCTGTAACAGTCCACTACCGCCGGCGAGGTGGGTCAGTAGGGCTACTACTCCAGCAGAGTGTGCTCTGTCAGCCGCAGCCCAGATTTCTCCACGGTCACAACCGGGGTAAAGGAGAATGTGGGGCAGCAGCTGCTGACCAGGAAAGCTGGTCAGGGGCTGTAGGGTGGAATGCTATTGTTGGACGACAGTGCGCGTATACATCAGGGCTCCACCCACTGTACCCATAGAGTCCAGTAGAGGGCGGAGCCTGTGAGAGATATAACGCTGGGTTACGTATTGTAACCCTTGTTATATTAACACAGGCGGAGCCCTCTACTCAGGGCACTGTCTGTCCTATTCCGCTCGCTGAAGAGAGGTATAGGATGATAGTCAGGAGGCGAGGCCTCCTTTTATACGGTGTGATGCGCGCGCATTCAGGTAGGCCCGCCCTGGGCCGGCTACGTCTATAGAAGTCTCAGTGGGAGAATGCTCCCAGGATAAGGTAGTACCCATAGAGTCCAGTAGAGGGCTCCGTCTGTGTTTATATAACAAGGGTTACAATACGTAACCCAGCGTTATGTTCTCTCCACTATGACGGACCCTTTTAATTGTGTCGCACTTTTCTTTGTGTTAATATTTCAGGTTTTGGCAGCATATGGGCAGCTTTGTGAGGGAGACATTATCTGGATGGTACCTTCCAGACACGTTCTACCATAAGTTAGAAAGCCTAATAGTGTGGGGTTATGGCCTATTGGCACAGACTGAGAGTGATGGTCCTGTCTCACAGGGGATATTTGAGAGTCAGGGCCTGATCTTAGCCCATAATGAGGGCTGTGGCAGTGAACCGTCCCAGAGGAGAAACATGAGAGACGGGATGATGGTAGTAGAGGTATGTGAGTTCTCACCAGGGACGAGTGAGTCGTTGCGGCAGTCGTACAACATCCCGAGGCTGAAAGGCCGTCCGAGCGCCGCCACCTCCATCGTCCTGCTGCCTTCAGAGTCCATCGCTTCGAACAAACTGAAAATAATCAACAACAGCTCGTTAGTTAACTTTAATGATTTGGTAATGTCATGTCCAACCACCCTAATATTTCAATCAGACCTTTCCTCTCAACGAAGAGACGCACAAGAGGACTCAATGAAACGAAAGTGACACAAACACACTGGAAAGGGAAAAAGGACTACAAAGCAACATTTACACTGCAGTGTGTTAATTAATAAATGTATCTATTTATTCCACACGCTCCTGCATTACTTCACCCTACAAACCAGACAACATGTAAACAACATGTTGTCGAGTGCAGAGGTTGTTTCCTTATGTAACCGGTGTGGTTAAGCGGTCTCTGCGTTGTGTTGATAATGGACGAGACCCGAGCCAGCGTAAAGTTGAGACGATCTCTGTTTAATGACTGACAACAGATAAAAACTATCAGTTCCCCTCAGTGACTCCTCTCACGTGCAACGTTTACAAAAAGGGCACGTACCTGACAACAGATAAAAACGATCAGTTTTACATCAGTTTCCCTCAGTGACTCCTCTCACGTGCAACGTTTACAAAAAGGGAAGAGGAAACGGGAGGGACACAATATAAAGGGGGGAAAGTCCTCACAACAATAAACTCCTGAGCACAGCGACCACACTTCAGAGGCTCCGCCCACTGATCTCCGTCCTTACCAGGTATTTAACATTCAATAAAATGAAGAACACAGAATAAAATAATATAAAACACAGAATTTGTGTGATTATACAATATTAAATTAAATAAACCCCACTGCATATTTACATCTGTTACACTCTCCCCCCTAGAATTACACAAAATTCTTAGCACCAAAACAATCCACACATACAACACATCGGCCATGAAATACACAAACAAAGTGTATGGAATCAGCAATATAAACTTCCTACTGAAAGGATAAGAGAATCAGAGTATTACCCGGTGCCTAGCAATAACACATGACACCCTCTAGACAAAGTGAGATGCCTTATACATCACACATACGGCCAAACCATGTGGATACACAAGTGTGAAAGTGTGACATCCAGCAGCAGAGTTAACCAAGAAAAAAACATTATACATATAATAACAATAAAACAAAACGTCAATCCTATGCCACCCCAATTTCTCACACATGGATAACAGCACCAGGGCCTGAATCAACCCCTAGAACAGACTCAAGTTGTGTCATGGACTCAATCAGACGACACACTGGCCTAAAGATTCTGCCAAACCGAGAGGCAAGCCCCCCATTGGGGGCTGTGTGGACCAGGATGGGCAGACAGTGACTGTGACAGGGGAACATCCAAAGCAGGGGAAATTGCCAGAGAGGTAGACAGTGGACACTCTGAACTAACTGAGCCATCAATGGAGGACTGTTCGTGGACCCATGAGGCAGTGCGGCTATCTGCCCAGCCAACAGCACTCGAAAGGGAACCAGCAAGAGACGATCCGGCAGCAGCAGCTGTAGTATCCAACTCAGAGATCGCAGTCTTGTGCAAATCAGTTGCAGGGGGAACATCGGCCAAGCTCACAGTAGGCATTGACAAAGGAGCAGGACTGCCATTTGAGGCCTCTTCCAGGGGCAGGAAGTCAACCTGGAGCGGTGTCGATTTTAGATTTCACTGTCTCATGAGAAGTATGGAAGAGTTTTTAAACCGGTGGTGTTTCACTATAGCTGTGTGCTCTGTGGTGGGGGAGGAGCTCGCTTTTAACTCTGTCTTTGTGTGAGAAAAAAAAAAGGAATTCTTCTATCAATGTATACAAGCAGATAAGTTAATTGTTTGTAGAAAATCTAAATCAAAAATCAAAAAAATCTCTCTCTCTCTCTCTATCTATCCATCCATCTCTCTCTCTATCTATCTATAGAAAAACCTGAGATCGTTGATTCTTCTTCAGAGAGAAACAGAGAGACTTGTCTCGACTGCAGCTGTCTGCATATAATAATTTTGTCTTTATTCTACATGAAAATGTTAGAGATTCCATTCAAATCTGTTGATTATTCATACCTTCCTCAGGCTAGGAATAGTATGTTGAGTTTTTAATGCTAAATGTTTATCATTTTCTCACAGGATATAGAATGAGACAACACAGTTTTTATCCATTGTGTATGAATGCTTCAGCTCTTCAGACCAACATAGTAAGATGTGAGCATGTTCCTTGTGTTGGTATGCAGCCTAGGTCTGGTCTGTTTAATAAAGCAAATCTGCCACTTTTATATTGTAGAATTTGTTAAATTAAAGCAGTCTTTAATTGTTTGTCCTAAACATAGCCATATATGCTTTTGAAATGTAACATGTCTTTGAAAAAATAACAGTATACAGTTTATATTGTGTATCACCTTTAGCTTGGAAATACATAGATGTGTTTTTTTATCTATAAAATAAATAAATAGACAGAGAGACACTTTATCAATCCCACATTGGGAAATTATTTAACAGCAGCAGTGTGTTCAGGTATTAAAATATTTAAAGTTGGAATAAAGTATAAACTACACAACACAAGTCTAATGCACAGCAATCCGTAAGATAAGTCTGATATGTTCATGAAAACTCTCCAGGAGACACCAACACAAGTGGACTCCGGAGTTTGCTGCATGCGTTGCACTGTATGATCTGTGGTGTAGTGGGCTGTCACTCAAAAACTGAGTAGCCAATGGGGAAAAATACTTATAGTTTACATGATTACAAAAATGATTTGTTTGCAACTCATAGTTTTATTTTTTAAATTAAATTTATTTAGCTTGACTTAGTTATTTTTTCTCTTAAACTCTTAGTTTTGCTTGATTCTGAGAAAGTGTTGCTTTATCTTTATGACACAAAACTAATCCCATATTCAACGGAGCTGATCCAGATTTGCGTCCAATATGACGTAATATCTGAAATGTGGACCCACGGCACTATCAGAAAAGTTGCTATCAGAAACAATGCCCGACTGTTTTGGACGTAATATGGTCGGTGTTTACATTAGCATCGCTAACACTCAGAGCTAACCTGTACTGGAGAGCATGTGTGTGAAGAAGCAGGAAATAAAAAGCTGCCGGTTTAGCTTGATGAGTTGGGTGGCATGTCTCTTCTGCCTGGGGCCCCCAGAGTGTCTTGCTACGCCAAGCATGCCTGTTACCATCTCACTGTAGGTCACAAATGTAATGTTTGTACATCCCCTTATTACATGTATCCTCACCATCCATAGTCTCTAAATAACTTAGTTCACGTATAAATGGCTCGCTGGTCTCATCATACAACGGCAATGAGAAAGCACCAAGGGAGGCAGCCATAACCTCTGCTGCACTGCAGGGGGCGCACGTGAGCCCACAGGTTCTTGTAGCTACTGTTATTCTACGCAGAGACGGTAGACGCAAACAACAGGCTAGACTTTTGAAACTAGAGGGAGATAAGGAGGACTTTTACAAAAAAGTAATAGAGATTTTTGTCCAGAAGGATAGCATGGACTTCATCTTCAAGAAAAGGTAAGACCACAATTGAATTGAAAATTGGATCTTACTAAGAAAGAACAATCCAATATTTAAATGAAACTACATTTTTGGGGTATCCTTTTGTTGAACGGTCTGTTTAAAATTAATCAAAACATCAGACTAAAAAAGCTTTTGAAAATAACAGAATATTTAGATTAAGGTCAAAATATAATATTTGTAAATCTGACTCTGAAATAGTCAGTGCCTCACCAGCCATGAACCTCACCGCACGTCACTGGTGTAGAGGAGTGTGTGGTTAAAACGTAGCAGCCTGGTAGCTCTTCAGCTGTTGTAATGAAGGTAAAAACAGTGAAGGCGGTGCGTAAAAGGCAGAGCTCTCAGCAGCTGGTGCTGCTCTTCTCAGATTCTGCTGAGTTACATGTCACGCTGCCTCCTGGTGAAGGAGGTTTTCCTTCTATTAAACAGCTATGGGCAGCAGATACTGTGAGAGTCACTGACATGAATTCATCAATCAAGGCAGACTGGCTTACAGACTCTCCTGTTTTGCCAATCCGGTGCTTAAACAAATAGCTCTACACCCCTGGCCGAAATGTCCCTAAAATGAAGTCCAAGTTCGAAATATATCTCAAATAATGTATGCACTGCTATATCCCCACATAAACACAACAGTCTGCAATGAAACGGTCTTCTCCTGTGTGCTCCACTTCCTACTTGGTGCACCAGTCATTTTCATGACCCTTTAGGGCAGGGGTGGGGAAGCTCCGGCCCCCGGGCCGTATACGGCCCGCGAGACCATTTGATACGGCCCTCGAGGTAATTTATAAACACACGCAAAAAAAAAAAATTTTAAGAAATCTAGACCGCAAAAAAATTAAACAAGCGAGTGCCTGTTTTTCCTGGGTTAGGTCAGGGTCCTTGAACACAACACGAGCCTAACGTGTCATCAGGTGGTCTATGTCCCGTCTGACAGGGGTGCAGTTCTGACCCCTAGATTCCACCGGGTCCGTCTGCGGCGCGTTACGGGCGCGTTACGGGCGCGTTACGGGCGCGTTACGGCTGCGCCGCGGTGCTCACGGCGATCGCGGCCACTCTAGTCAATGGGTGCTATTCCACCACACGCGGCGCGTTACCTATTTTTGGCGCGGCGCAGCCATAACGTAAGGTCGGGCAGGCAGGAAGTGGAACGTTCAGAGCATATATAGCATATATATATTTTTATATATATACACACACACAAACTAATTGTGCAGGCCCTATCCCTCCGTAGTCTTTCAAGTAGGAGGAGAAATGCTGATGATGAATTTTTTACCACTAAAATACAGCAACACATCTTTGATTCATGTCGTTTATAACTGGAATATTACAGTTATTATTAACTTTGTCTGTACAAAGTAGCCTGTCCAGGAAATATGCCCAAATCAACAAAAACTGCGAGCCGGCAGGCAAGACGCTCCGCTTCTGAAATGCTCCTGAAACGCGCCTGGTAGGGTATGACGCCGGAGGAGGCCGGACCAAAACCGCGGCGCAGACGGACCCGGTGGAATCTAGGGGTGACGGAGAGCACCAGAACACCGCTCCGGGCTGGGACTTCACAAATGTCAGTACCCATAAGGAGCCGTACACATGCTGCAGTTTCTGCGTGGCTGTGTCTTTAGTTGAAAGCCCAGAGGAGATCTGTTCATCTGTCATACTGATCATACAGTCAATAACTTTGTTGTTATTAGCATCTGGTTAGCTAGCTATGCTAACGAATATAAGAAGCTTTTTCTCCAACCAGTGAGGTAAAGGCACATCTTTATATGATCATTATAGTTATACAAAAATAAGAGAATTAAGTAAACAGGTATAAAATACTATATGACAGTAAAAAAAAGTTAAACAAGAATAATAAACAAGAATACAGTTTGAAAGGAGAGTGATTTGTAAAATATCCATAAAGAAAATCTGCTTACAGTTGTGTTTCATATGGGTGTTGAGAGATGTATCCATAGAGCTCCTAATGTTGCTCTCAAAGTGCACCAGATTGATGCTTTCAACTTCAACATTTAAAAAAAAATCTTCCCAGGGGAGCATGCCCCCCGGACCCCCTAGAGGAGGTTAGGTCCCACCCCCCACTTAAATCATGTCCACATGGATAGGAAACTAAATAAATTTGCACACATCTTGTGTCCATGTCTTTCTGTTGTGGTGGTCATGCCACACCGTGCACGTGCATGCGCGAGTCATGGTGAGATATCTGGATTGAGAGGTTGCTTTTTCTTTGCACATCATGAAAGAAAGGTGAAATGAATGGGCTGTGATTTTAGTATTTTTAAGCAGAGGTCAATAATTTGTACGGCCCTCGGAGGATGTTGACAAAATTAAATGGCCCTTGAGAGGAAAAAGGTTCCCCACCCCTGCTTTAGGGGCTCCGTACAAGAGAGAGCTGCAGGAAGGGAGTCAGCATTCAACACTTCCTGTTGCCTGATTCAAAGTCAATGTTTTTTCTGTTTTTGGTAAGAATGAAATATCGTAAATAGTAAACAACAAAAAAAAGAAGAAGCAATTCAGTGCACCACATGACTTTAGAAGAGATCTCAGTTCTGGTTTTCCTTAAAGAGTATTCCTACCTTGAGATTTCTTTAAATCAGATTGTGGTTCCTCGTCACAGTTTAAGTTAATGATCCTTTGTTCGTGTATCAGAACAAGGTGTGTTAGTCTTCCTTAATTCCTTACATGGCAAGAGAGAGCTGCAGGAAGGGAGTCAGCATTCAACACTTCCTGTTGCCTCGTCGTGAAGTCAATGGGTTTTTGTCTGTTTTTGGTACGAATTAAATATCGTAAATAGTAAGAAAAAAACTCACCAGAGATTCTGCTGTTTGTTGAGAAAAACCTGAGCGATCAGTGGATTCTTCTTCAGAGAGAAACAGAGAGACTTGTCTCGACTGCAGCCTGAGAGAGTTTCACTTTCAGCTGAAGTTGTTGCTCAATATGAAGATGATGTAACCCAGCGGTTTTCAAACTGTGGGGCGCGGCCCCCTCGTGGGGCGTGAAGCTTTGGAAGAAGTTGTAAACAGACTTTGGTTGCTCTTTTATATAATTAAAACAATATATAAAAAGAGATACACACACACACACAGAGAGAGAGAGAGACACAGAGAGAGATACACCCACACACAGAGATACACCCACACACAGAGAGACACACACACACACACACACACACACACACACACACACACACACACACACACACACACACACACACACAGAGAGAGAGAGAGAGAGAGAGACACACACACACACACACACACACACACACACACACACACACACACACACACACACACACACACACACACACACACACACACACACACACACACACACACACACCACACAGAGAGAAATGATATCATGAAAGTTACGGTGCTTATTAAGCATTTTAAAACGTATGTGGTAACTTGCCAAAGTGCTTTGTTTTGAACGTTCAATACAAAAAAACTTATAGTTTACATGATTACACAAATGATTTGTTTGCAACTCATAGTTTTATTTTATTTTGCTTGACTCGATTTTTTTTTCTCTTAAACTCTTAGTTTTGCTTGATTCTGAGAAAGTGTTCCTTTATCTTTATGACACAAAACTAATCCCATAGCCGAGCATAAGTTTCACTTTCCTTTTTATTTAAATTCCAGCTTTGGTCATGAAGAATATGTTTCTCTGTTGTCCACGTTCATAAAGCATAAAACAACACCATCAGAGCACGGTGCAGGGTCTCTAGCCCTTCTGCCCTCTTCGAATTTTCATCCTTTCGACACTTTCGTGGCAAAAATGTACACGCCCCAAAAAACTGCTATTAAATCATACATCAATATTTCTTTCTACTTTTTTTTTTTCATGAATCATTTAAACAACTTCTAACGTACTCAAAACTACCAAACATTCAATAATTTTCAGGATTTTAACTCTTTAAATGCCAGTTTCATTATTTGCATTATTTATTACAAAAACACAAAACCTCAATTATTTTCCACATAATAATTAGTAGGGGGATGGGGCTTTGGCGGTTATTAGAGTCTTGGATATGTCAAAGATTAACAAAAAAGTTGATTTGACTGCATTATTATTTTTACGTAGTGTCAGATACTACCTCTGGACACCCTTTGTGGCCAAAATGCCTCATTGACTTCCATTCAAACCACATGTTTTGATCTCACTGCCATTGCAAGTATAAAACCATGCATTTTGTAATGTCAGCATTTCAATTAGAAGAAAAGTAGTGATATTTGATATTTCTACTCTATTCCAACAGATTCAACAATTTTCCCTCTGTAGGCCGATGCATGACATTCTTACATTTTTGCCAGTTATATTATGGAGCCGTGTGACTACCAGGGGGCCCTGTGTGTGTGTGTGTGTGTGTGTGTGTGTGTGTGTGTGTGTGTGTGTGTGTGTGTGTGTGTGTGTGTGTGTGTGTGTGTGTGTGTGTGTGTGCGTGCGTGCGTGCGTGCGTGCGTGCGTGCGTGCGTGCGTGCGTACGTACGTACGTGCGTGCGCGCGTGCGATGCCGTGTGTAAGTGAATATAAACTCCACTTCAAAGTCTCCATCTGGTCCATTCTCGGTTCGGTCGTTCTGTCAGGGTTGGGAAGAATCAGGACCCAAACGCAGAATGAGGAGAAGGGGTACAAAGTATAACAAAAGGCGAGCTTTATTCAACAAAATCCGATGACCATGAAAAAACCATAAATCCATAAACTGGTAGCACGAGGAAGCATCCGGACAAAACAAAAAACAGGGACGAATATGGAGGTGCAAGGAAGACGACGAACGAACATGGAGCAAAAGGGAAGACAAGACTAAATACACAGAAGGGTAATCACAGGACAAGACACAGCTGGGCAGGGGAGGCAGAAACACAACAGGTGATCACAATCAGACAATCAGACACAGGAAGGAAGTCCAGACACAGGAAGGAAGTCCAGACACAGGAAGGAAGTCCAGACACAGGAAGGACCGAATTTCAAATAAAACCATGACTAAAACCAGTGGCGAGCCGTGACTTCTATACCTAGGCCCTCTGACCCCTCGAAAAAAAAGAAGAGTTATTACGTCTCAGCGTATACTTCAGCGGAATATCAAAACAACAGCCCAGGGTGCAAAACGCATCATTGACAGCGACCCTCTACCACACAAAACAACACCATTTATATAAACACCTATCATGACAGGGCACCCACAGCCAAGTAACAATTACAAATGAATTGAGTCGGCACGGCGGCCCACATTGAAAATGACTTAGGCCTACCTTTGATGATCAATTCACTTAAACACAAAGTCCATCCTCCTGTCCTTCTGGATGAAGCACTTGATGGCAGGGTCATGCAGCTGATCCTTTGCCACTCCAGTTTATCATTGTAACTCAATCTTGAAAATGACTCGGTTAATAATTTCGCAACGATGTCATCACTATCACTGACATGAGCCATCATGAGCGAACTTATGCTAATCATAAATCTATCGATCATAAATCTATCGATTAGATTTATGATTCGAAAATAATAAAAGTAGGGTAGACATGTGGATATTATCCGGCTGAACAAAACGTGCATTTATCTAACAGGTTCGTTTTCCACAGACCTTATTTCGAGCTATTACATCCATGAGAAATCCCATTGCTTTTCTGTTGAGGGAACCCGAGCGCAGCTTACTTCCGGGTTTTAGGACGCATCACTGCACCACTTGCATAAACCTCACAGCGGGCAGAACTTGTCATAAAGTCCGCGAAAATAAAGCCCACCCATTTAGAGGGAGGATATGATTGGTCAATTGTACTGTCATTTGACATTACTCTCTCATTGAGTTACTATAGCTGGCCCTCTGTGAATGTACAGAGGGACCAACAAGCTCTCCCGTCTTCACAGTACCGCAGAGACGGCATTTAACCCTTCACATTCCAACAGAAACTGAACAGGCAGATTCGAAGGATTTATTTCTTTCGAAATGTTATTTTAAATACAATTAAATCAAGTTATTTTGGTAAAACTAATGAAAAATATAACAAAAAAATATATAAAAAATAATATTAAAAAAAAAATGTTTTTATTTTTTCAAATATTATTTTTTAGAATATCTTAGGCCCTCACAGAGGGCCTCGAGGGCCCTGACGGCTCGCCACTGCTAAAAACACAAATCTAAAATCATGACACAGTCTTAATATGTACAAGAGAATTTAAATGTTTTGCTGAATGTTTCCTCCTATCCAGTCTTCATTGTTTCTAGTCTGTCAAGTATTTTTTATTCATACATCCCAACATCTAAAATCACAAACTCTACAACAAACAGAACCTTTCATTCTTAGACCTTAGATTGTTATGAGTAAAAACTGCCCCAAAAAACCTTAAATGGTAAAAGAAATGTTTAGAAACGTTGATGTGTTTACAGAAAGACCAACAATGCAAAATGACATTATGGACAATCGGGATGACAAAGTTATACATAGCAAACAAATAACTTTTCTACATGTTGATATGTCGCTTTATTCAAAATGGTTTTAATGTAACCTACAACAGATCTACACAGTCTACACATAACACACAAGAAAAGCATTATTTTTGGATAGAGACACCTACATAAAGTAGCATACAAAATGTAACTGTTGCATTTATTCTGCATTTCACTTTACAATCTTTTACTTGTGTCGTGTTTTTTCTCAGCTCTTTAATGATCGTTGGAACTTGTTGATTCACGCCCTTTATTGTTCTGTTTTTAGCACAGCTTGAATATCCAGTCCACCTGCATGTTCATTGTTCATTTAGATAACTATAAACAGCAAACCAGATTCACCCTCCCTTCAGCATTTACAAGAAATGAAACCTGTTCTTTTAAATGCCACCATAAGTGCCCATACAGAGCAGCAGTTTTAGTTGTAGCTCGTAGTGTGTGTTCCCAACATGATGTGAAATTAATATGTCTACAGATGCTGTACATTCACAAGAGTATAAGCTTTCAAATCATTTCTGAGTTACTGTACTTTTAAATAAAACACTACTAGGATACAGAGTTTCTTAATAATCTGAAAAGCAGCTAAACAAGAAAACTCTGTACCACGGGCCTTCTGCCAACTGTGTGGGTGGATGTACAAACCTCAGTGTGTCTCTTAGTCCCACAGCCACATGACCCGAGAAACACGAGGCCAACACAGCAGAGTTCGTCTGGCTGAAAGTCATCAGGCCTAAGTGGCTCAACCCCAGGTTTTCCGGCCCCTACCGAGTGACCCAAAGGACCTCCCATGCCGTCCGCCTAGAAGGAAAGGGAGACAACTGGTACCACTGGAGCCAGTGTGCGGTCGGGAAAACACCTGCGAGGACCCTAGACGACATCAGGACAGATCTGGCCCTCGTCAAGGCAGTCGACCCAGGAGGCGCCATCAGCGGACCGGAGGAGGAGGATCGGGAAGACATCTCTCCAGCATCGACCCGGAAGCCGCCATCAGCGGGCCGGAGGAGGAGAATCCGGACGACATCTCTCTAGCAGGCAGCCCAGAAGCCGCCGTCAGCGGGCTGGGGGGACAAAGACACGGCAAACCAAGACGGCACAGGGAACTCCACTTCCCGCTGAAACAGATTGATATAGCCGGTGTGAAACTTTG